CAAACCGACTATACCTAGCTCCCTCCTTTGTCCTCCCAATTTTTCCATCGTTAGAAAGGATAGAACAAACTGTCGAGGAGGAGGTGTCGCGATCTTATGCAGGAATTATTGGAGAATGCAGCCACTACCTGATTTGGATAACCCATTCGAATGTTTATGGACAAAAATTATTACACAAAACTCTGAATTCTTTGTTGCAACTATTTACCACCCACCTGAATATGAGTATAATGAGCAAGACCTTATCGAATTCCTTATTGACTCGTGCGAACAACTATTGTTATCTAAACCGAATTCAAACATAATAATTGCTGGTGACATTAACAATTTAAATATTCGATTTGTTCTTAATCAACTTCCATTTACCCAACTCGTTAAGACCCCTACGAGAGGGCTAAAAATATTAGATGTCTTTATTACAAATGTCCCAAACTATTGGAAGTCTATTAAAGTTATAAAAAGCTTGGTGAGATCCGACCATGATATGGTTATCACATACCCCAGAAACATAGTTAAAGCAATAGGAACAAATTCCTATTTCAGAGATGTGAGACAACAACATCAAATGAATATGCTTCGTGAACTTGAATCTATTGATTGGAACACGATAATTATGAATAGTCACAACCTAGATGAGATAACCCTAAAATTTTATGAAATAATATGGCCAAAATACCCATTAATCCATATGTGGTGAACTGGTTAATTAGCTTTCTAGAAAATGGAATACAAAGAGTAATGGTTGATGGAATTATTACAGAATATTTATATATTAATCGTGGTGTTCCTCAAGGTACCGTTTTAGGCCCAGTTCTTTTCTCAATAATGGTCGATGATATTAAAACTGCTGATCCTAGTAATGCGTTAGTCAAATTTGCTGACGATTTGACGTTAGGAGTGCCTGGCAACGAAAGTGGTGACACATTTCGATCTGAAGCTGCCTGTTTACAGGATTGGGCGGAAGAGAATAGAATGCCCTTGAACTTGGAAAAAACGTACGAAATGGTTGTTCGCAGACACACCTCTGTAGTCACTAGACTGGTTTAGTCTTCACTATTTCTGGTGACCTGTGCCATAATATTTATATTAAAAAAAAATCATATAATGTTATTTTACTTGGTGGTGCGAAATAAATTGTTGTTGTTGTTGTCGTTGTCGTTGTTGTCGTTGTCGTTGTCGTTGTCGTTGTCGTTGTCGTTGTCGTTGTCGTTGTCGTTGTCGTTGTCGTTGTCGTTGTCGTGTCGTTGTCGTTGTCGTTGTCGTTGTCGTTGTTTTGCCTGAGCTTATCCCTTCAATTAAGCGAAAAACATGGCTAAAGCTTTTAGGAGTTACTCTACAAGATAATCCGTGCAACTGGGATTTGCACTTCGAAGAAATGCTCAAAAAAGGAGGGTGGAAGAATGTACATTATGAGAGTTTGCAAATACTATGGACTGTCAATTCAACAATTAGATCTGCTGTTTGATAGCCTAATTATGTCGATATTCACTTTTGCTATTGAGCTGTGGGGTTGTGCATATGACTGTAAATATTTGAACCAAATAGATAAATTCATTAAACGTGCAAATAAGAATGGTTATATATCAAAACGAACACACATTAAAGAAATACGTGACAAGAGAGATAAGAAACTGTGGAACAAAATAACATCAACTGAGGACAACACATTGCTTGAACTGCTGCCGGAAAAAAGAAGTAGGTAACTTAGGCCTAGAGGGCATGAGTAGGAACTCCCCCTAGTGAGAACAGAAAGATTCAAGAGGTCGTTCATAAATCGTTGTCTGTATAACTTTGTTTGACTTTAATGTCTTTAAAACTTTTTAAAACTTTTTTACGCTTCTTAACTTACATTGTAAATATAACTATCTAGATCAATTACCTTTCGATTGTAAACTCAGACGGATGTATCTGAGTATTTTAATAAAGTCTATTATTATTATTATTGTTATTATTATTATTATTATTATTATTATTATTATTATTATAAAAAAATTAAAATTTGTTAATGTATCCATAAGCTCGCTAGGCGTTTTTGGTCAATCGACGAACACCTTAACGGATATGCTCAAGGAACTGAAGTTCGATGAACAACAAATTAAATACATTAAAAAGAAAATCATTGCTATTTGTATTCGCACATCATATTATGTATTCTGTCAGCGAAACAAAGACTGGACTAGCCCAGAGCTTCTAAAATTTTGAACAATATTAAATTTCCTATTTTTGTAAATTTATATAATCCAAATATTTTTCAAGTAGTCATCGATAAACTACCTTTATGAGCGAGGTTTATCAATGGAAATATAGTTTTATGGTATATTATGAAATAAAAAAATTTCCATCATAATATGACATCTTGTCTTCGAAACGCAGTATACTCCTTCCTCGCATCTAATAACTTCGTCGAACACAACATACAAAAAGGCTTCACTCCTAACCTATCTGGCACTCTAGAACATACTGCACAAATGGCTGACATTATTAATAAAGCTCGGATCAGACAACGCTTTGTTGTCATCACCCTACTTGATCTTAAGAATGCTTTCGGCGAAATCGATCACAACCTCATCCAATCCGTACTTGACTACCACAATATCCCTGATCATATTAAATTTGTTATAAAAAGTTTATATACTGATTTCCAAACCTCGATAATTACATCTGAATTCCGCACTCCTTTTATGACAGTTGGCCGTGGCGTATTGCAAGGAGATTGCCTCAGTCCTCTTCTTTTTAACATGTGCTTCAATACATTCATTCAGCATATCAAGGCTGAAAAGGACCGTCAATTTGGGTTTTCCTTCAAATTACTAAATCCCATCCACTGGTTCCAGTTTGCTGATGACGCGGCTGTAATTACTGGCCAAGAATCCGAAAACTAACATCTATTAGATCGATTTTCTATCTGGTGCCAATGGTCCGATATGATTATCCGAGTTGACAAATGCAGTACCTTTGGCATTAAAAAAGCGATCACAAAATCAGTTCAGTACTTGCCAAAACTCCTCATCAGCAATCAACTAATACCAAAAATCACCATTGGAGAATCATTTCAATATTTAGGACGTCACTTTGATTTCCACATGTCGAATGATAATCATAAAACTGAACTAACAACCCTACTTATAATGAACTAATATCTGATATTGACTCAAAGCCACTACACCCCAAAAATAAACTGCTCCTCTACAGTCGCTACGTCTTGTCCAAGTTAGCCTGGCACTTTACCGTCGCAACACTCTCTAAAACATGGGTTACTGAAAATATCGATTCTATTGCCAACAAATATATCCGCAGATGGCTTGAAGTACCAATATCAGGAACGCTAAGTACTGTCTTTCTAACAAATAACAAATTTGGCCTGAGTATTTATCCTCCATCTGTAAAATTTACCCAGTGTCAAACAGTCATCCGAAAAGCTTTAAAATCTTCTCCTAATGAATCAACTAACGATCTGTGGAGAGCAACCACTAACCATACTAATATCCAATATGACGTTTATAACTCTACTAAGGAAGTTCTCAAAGATTTCCGTTCTGGACACGAAAACAAACTGCTAAACCAATTAACCAGTCAAGGTTCCTTTTTCTGCAGCGTCAAGAAGTTCGCTTTACCTCAGCTTAACAAGGTGTGGTCCATCGCCCAATCAAAGCTCCCGAAAAACATTTACAACTTTACCATTTGTTACATTAACAACTCTCTTCCGACGCGCAAAAACCTAAACAGATGTGCAATATCTTCAAATTCAGACTGTTCTTTTTGTCTTAGCCCTGAAACATTACTACACATAGTAGCTGGATGTCAGTTTTATCTCGACCGATTTACGTGGAGACACAATTCAGTCCTGAACTTTCTTGCTCATACTTTACAAACTGTTGACGGTTCTACTCTCTACGCTGATCTAAATGGATTCAAAAGCCCTTCAATACTTACTGGTGATACGTATCGCCCAGATTTGTTATTATCGTGCTCAAATGGTTCCTTATATGTGGTTGAATTCACCACTGGTTACGAGAGAAACCTCAAAAACAACGTAAAACGGAAGAAAGATAAATATAGAGAATTATTGAGACAGCTAGGTAAAAATTTTAACCAAGTTAAATTTATAAATCTCTCCATCATCTCTTTAGGTATTTTTGCAGAAGAATCTTATACATTTTTAGACATGTTAGAAAGCATTGGTCTTGACAAAAACCACCAAATGTACTGCGTTAGGAAAATGATGACTATTGCTATTAGAACTACATATTACATTTTTACTACATATTACATACTACTAACAATTTGACTTATCTCATTGTATATATATATATATATATATATATATATATATATATATATATATATATATATATATATATATATATATATATATATATATATATATATATTGCATGCACTTTGTTCTGTTATTTTAGTTTAGTATAATTGTGATTCAAATAGCCAACCGTAAGTTACCTTTATGAGAGAGATTTACGATTGTATATGTATGTAAAGAAAAACATTTAATAAAGTTTCCATTATTATTATTATTATTATTATTATTATTATTATTATTATTGTTATTATTATTATTATTATTATTATTATTATTATTATTATTATTATTTAATAATGATACAACTTTATTCATCATTTCATTATATACAATAATGCTTTTGTTATCAATGACTATATTAAATAATCTGTTCTTTGGGTATAATTAAAAAAGTGTCTAAATGTTTGTTGATATGTACAGTTAAATTTTAAAAACAAACTCTGGAACATATACCGCTACGTAGTTAAAATATTTACCGCTAAGTAGCTAAATAACTGAACTAACATATTCCGCTAAATAACTAAACAACTAAACTTTGTATATGTACAATCTAAAATGTTTGAGAGATAGCACTCTCGGCGTTCTCAATGTTGAAATCAATGTTCCTAATATCATACATGATTTTCCTTGCCCTTGAACCCCTCAAACAGGTAAGTGCCGATCTCAATAAAGCGAAAGAGGTTCTGGCTCTTATCCAACTCATAGTTGTCGCATAATCTTCGCCTTTCTTTATGGCTACCAACTCTGCCAATCAACTATGGTATCTCACACATTCTTTCCCCATACATACTGCCTGTGGTGGTGAATACGAGTGGCGTAAATGTTCCTTGCTCTATTTCGAGGACTCTCCTTGCATATAGGCGCTTCTTCTCGTTTTCGTGTATCTTGTAGACTTGGCGTAGCTCCAGGTCCTTGTACGAATCAGCATTGGGATGACAAACCCTTACATCAAAAAAGGCCGATCGTTGACTTTCCCAGAACCCACGCGCACGAATGTCGAGTCTAGCATCAGGTGCTCTGTTGGAGCCTCCATTTAGTTGCTCTCCCGAGATGTCTTGTAGGACAGGCTCAACTTGGACGTCACTACAGACAATGTTGAGGAGTTCCGCTTCCAGATCTCTTAACTCATTGTTGCGCATAATTACAAAGCCTCCACGTTTGCAGATCATGGCATGGTTAACCGTGAAGGTATCCCCACATACACATATGGAGGGGATGTCGTCGATTGGCCAATCATAGCGCAGCTTTACGGCGTCCCGAAATTCTCTCTTATTCAAGTCGAATCCCTGTTCTTTTAGGGGAAGTGCTGTGAGCCACACAGATGATCCTTTTTCCGAAGCCACATCTAATATACGCTGAATTGTTGGTGGTGCACTCTCTCTAATACGTTCTGCCCTCTCCTCCCACTCTTGCACTCTTTCCTTTCTAACGGCTTGTTGCGCTGATTTTATATGCGACTCGTCGGGTAGCTGATGTAACTGCGCTACAATCTGATCAACAAGGGGAGCTGTCACTCTTTTTGACGACACATACCGACGTTCTGCCTCATGACTTGGATTTTCCAAGCCCAGGCCACCCAGACGTGCTGGAAGTGCTAGAATGTCCCGATCGAGTGGATTGCACTGGTGATCTGTGATAGCGGGGATGAGAATCTACGATATTGCCTTTTCGAGTGGCTCTAGTAGGTCCTGGATGTCTGGCAGGGTTCTTAGGAAGTAGGTCCAACGATGTTTCAAACCAAATGTGTATGCGGCATAGGACGCTTGTGGTTTGGACAGTGCAAATTCGGCTAATTCTGTCACTTCGTTGACCCAATTAGAAACCTTCTCATTAATATATTCCTCCAGATACTCTCGTGAACCTAGCGCTGCTCCCAGATGTTTCTGCCCATGCACTGTTACATTGATATCCGTTCCATGGAAGACTTCTTCTCTCACACTTTCTTCCTTTTCGGGCTTAACAATAATCCAGCATTTCTCGTCTTTCGGAAAATATCCCAAGTTTGGACCAAAGTATTCAATGCATCCCACCAATCTTTGATTTGTGTCACACGACCAGCTCCACTCGCATCGTCTGCGAACCAACACTGCTTCATGGTAGATGCGGCCTGTAGACTCGTGATCAAAGGCAGGGTACTTATTGCATAAAAGGCCATTGTCAAAGGATCTCCTTGTGTGGTTTCTTCTGCTGACGCAATCTCTTTGCCGCCAACAATAAACAGCCGAGCTGGCTGTCTGTAGGTGTTTATAACGTAGGCAGCGATTATCGGACATAACACACGGATGTTCTGCAGAGCCACAGTTCTGTTGAGTGCATTGAATGCATTAGAAGCATCGATAAGTAAAACAGCATCAATGTCATCAGCTTCAAACAGGGTGTTCATTGCATGTATTGCAGCCTCACTTCCAGACTTTTGCCCAGCGCATAATTGTAACGATCCACTTGCTTCCACAACATCCTTCTTTGCAAAGCTCATAACACATTTTGCACTTATCCTCCTTATTACCTCTCCTACTCCGATAGATCTTACCGCACCTTCGCCTTTGTCTAGGGGAATTAAACGACTAGCAATCAATGGTAGGATCGATATATTGTGTGCACAAAGTCTTGGTCATTCTGGCTATGGCTTCGCACAGTCTTGTAGATGATTGCTTAAAGGACTTACATGCCAACATTCTTCTAAAGCCGTTAGCATCGACACCAGACGGGCCTCCAGATCCCTTTGTTCTCAAAGCGGCTTGTCTAACCATCTCACCATTGATCTGTGAGTAAACAGATTCGGGTATCTCGTCATTGAGCGGGCCAAATAATACCGACCCGAGTTTTGCTGGTTGTGGCGCAGGATGCTTCTGTTTTAATTGCGTCATTACATCGTCAGTTAACGTTAACACGCCGCCATTTGAGGTTTCACTCAGGAAGCGAAGGGCTGAGTTGATTTGACCTTCTATCACAAGCTTAGCAAAGACTTTAGCTTTATCGGGGTGGTTTGATCCTTTAAATTTTCCAATACGACTTTCTATGATTCGTCCTTCACGTATTAGCTTACTGATATCACCGTCCTTCCAAAGTGCAAGTCGCTTTGACAAGGCATCTTGATGGTCCTTTGCCTTGGACTTCGGGTTTGGCTTTTGAAGCCCAACGGCGAGAAGTACAAAAACAGCTTTTAGGGAAACATGTTGATTTTTCGAACCGCTATTCCAGTCGTTTATATGCATGCATCGTTATTTGATCGATAAAATCCCTTCCTATTTTCCCGTATGGCACTAGAAAAACATTCTTTTTCCAAGTTGTAATTTCATCATATGCATCTGTAATGTCTGAAGTCGATATAACTATTGTTCGTTCATCGCCTCGCTTCCCCCAATTAATCATAGGTGGTTTATTTACATTATTATACTGCGGAAGACAGCCCGAGATAATTGCATTGTCTTCGTTCTGGTCGAGTGCTCCCAGAATTTCATGTTGACTATTATGCAAATCGTGGCGGGTTGTTGTTTGCAATTCATTGGTTTGATTTGTATACTGCAATTCATTAATCAAGGCGGTATCTTTCGCCGACATATCGAAACCGTTTGAGCCCTCTCCCGTTTGCGAATCCCGTATTAAATTGTCCTTATTCAACCTCGGTAAATTGCTTTGGTTTATAGCAATAGAATCTCTTGATACGTTTCTCGAGTCCCCCAGCTCCAAAGATTTCTCCAGCCTTGCAGCTTGATCACGCAAATTCTGGCTTGAGAAGCCAAAATCATTATATCCTTTGGCATCCCATAGCTCCTTCATAAGTTTAATATAGCCTTTTTTCTTGCTATTTCCATCCAACGGTAGTTGCTCCCTTTGTGTCATTAGAGACCTTAAGATTGACGTTTACGGCAAACGTCAAACCGCTAGCGAGGTTTTTGATTTTACAACTCTATTATAATAGCTTTTACACCAGTTTTGAAATATGTTAAACTTATTAAACTTGTGCTCTTTAGCAATGATTTAAGAAACCAAGTTAACCACTAGTCATGCCATTCACCAAAGCAGTAAATTAAGATTTGGCGTTTGAAGTTGATGATTGGCGTATAAATTTCATGCTTGAACTGCTACCAGGGCTTGTAGTCGTTAAAGCATGAAATTTATACGCCAAACGTCAACTTCAAACGCCAAATCTTAATTTACTGCCTTGGTGAATGGCATGACTAGTGGTTAATTTGCTTTCTTAAATCATTGCTAAAGAACACAAGTTTAATACGTTATTAACATATTTCAAAACTGGTGTAAAAGCTATTATAATAGAGTTGTAAAATGAAAAACTTCGCTAGCGGTTCGACGTTTGCCGTAAACGTCAATCTTAAGGTGTCTAGTGCCACAGCCTCGCGTTTGCAACTCAAAAGATCCTCGTTCATTTGATCTGTCCATTTACGCCTGTGTTTATATTGCCTTTGATTAGCCATATTGACTTGCTATCGCTGACATAGAGTTTCAAAAAATCGTTTAAACTATTGCCTTTCTGAGTTCATCTGTTCGAATTTGTCTCGTTTACACAGCAAACTAGATTTTGTGCAGGAATTTCAAGAACAACAAAATAGTATAAGTCGTATTTTCGTTTATATTATTATTATTATTATTATTATTATTATTATTATTATTATTATTATTATTATTATTATTATTATTATTATTATTATTATTATTATTATTATTATTATTATTATTATTATTATAACAGAGAAACAACACAAGCATCATGATTATTCGATTACATTGATATCGAAGGAAATAGACTCAGTTCCGAAATATCACATATTCGAACCGACCTGACCGCGTAGCTCAGTTGGCAGAGCATTGGGCTAGTATTAAAAAGATTATTAATATTGCAATAAGGTCAACCTACTACATTTTTTGTTGTCGAAATAAGAACTGGGTGAATCCGGACTTGATGAAACTTTAAAATTTTTATTGTATAAGTATGTATATAGAGTAATAGAGTAAATTTAATCGTGCGTTATAAAATCATTTAATAGTAATATATCAAGTTGCCAATTGTAAATTACCTTATATAGTGAGATTTGCAGTTGTAAGTTTAGAAAATTAAATAAAGTTTCCATTATTATCACTATTATTATTATTATTATTATTATTATTATTAACTGGGGATTGGTCCATTGTTATTAGTTGCCGTCGGTAATTTATAGTGGAAATATTTGTGTCTCTTATGTTTTGGCAAGTTGAGTTACTCGGTTGTGTTGTGTAAATAGTCGCCGGAAAACAATAAAACGAGTTTACATAATATTCTAGATCTAGTTGTTGCCGGGTTAAGTCGGTTAGAAAGGTAGCTCGCCAACATTACCATGCCCAGTGGCGGAAATCTTGGTGGGGCGGGGGAGAGGCGTCCGCTTCCCTGACCTTCACGGAAAATTGACGAATTTTCGGAAATTTTGAAATTTTAAAAACACTCTTTTCGAGTGAAAATGGGAAATTTGAAAGTTTTGTCGGAAATTTAGGAGGCTTTGCGCCCCCCCCCCGGAAAAAGTGAATTTCCGCCACTGAACATGCCCACGATTTGCTTTCTGCCAGTGCCGCTATATATTATTTATTTTTTAAAGCCGTAATTGCCGCCCTGAATGAGCTATTGTTTATAACAAATCACATTGAGTTTTCTTATTTCACGGTCTTATTGTCATTGACGTATAAATCTGTTGGCAAAGCAAAAGAAATATTTCCTAAAAATTATTATTATTATTATTATTATTATTATTATTATTATGATTATGATTATTACTGCTGCTTGTATGGTAAATACTTTGCCAAATCAAACTACTGTCAAAGGCATTATTCACAAACAGTTATCAGGTTACATTTCGCTTTGACTTTTAGATGGTCAATTATCATGATTGTATGCTCATTGCACACAATCATGCATATAGAGCAATTGCCCGGGCTACTATTCCAAAGGTCGTAGGTTCGATTCCCACCGTGGACAGGCATATTTTTCAAGCTTGCCCGGTGTGGATATACACTCAGAGTAACAACACAAGCATCATGATTATTAGATTACATTGATATCGAAGGAAATAGACTCAGTTCCGAAATATCACATATTCGAACCGACCTGACCGCGTAGCTCAGTTGGCAGAGCATTGTGCTAGTATTTCAAAGGTCATAGGTTCGATTCCCACCGTGGCCGGGCATATTTTTCAAGCCTGCGCGGTGTGGATATACACTCAGAGTAACATCAAAAGCATCTTATTCACCTGAGTACATTACATCAACACAGCAAGTATCATTCATTATTCGTTTTATATAATACCAAAATAGATCAATTTTATTCAATGATTTATTGAACTACTCAAATTTCAAATTATTCAAATTTGATTGAATTTAAAAAAACGTAAAAACTACCTTGCAATGGAAAGAAATATTTGCACAGCTGGACCATGCAATGGAACTTTCCATTGCGCGGTCAGTAAAATGGAATTTTTATTTAATATCACATGATCATAATCAGCCAATTAAATTATCAGAAGTTAATGAAATATTATATAATACTGTTTATACACATAATAATCCTTGAAGGGCTAATTGACCACTTGCGTAATAGCGATGCCCGCTAAGCATGACGGTAGGAGGCTGTAGGTTGCTTTCGAACGAAATGGCTGTCGCATGAGCGAGCGATTTCGTTCGGGAGGAAACAACGACGGATTTTTTACTCTATTCGGCTTCGATCAATAGCAATTTTGTGTGGAAAATAACGAGGGTGTTTGGCAGTGCTCATGTAGAAAATTTAAAGAAATTCGGCTCATTAGTGGCGAAGAAAATTTGTTGTGAAGACGACCAGTTGTACACACGCCTCCCCTAAATTCGCTCGCGAAAACTTGACCACATCAACCAAAACAGGTGAGTTAGCTTTTCTACTGGCGATCGGCTAAATTTTTTTGAAAAATAAGCCCAATCGATAGTTAATCTCATTAGATTTCAAGGTTATTTTAATCCTATAGCTTCAAAAATGCCATTTTTAGCTTCATGAAAATGACAAATGTTAGCCAAAATTTTGTTCGAATTTGCCATTGCCAGCCACTAAGCCTGACAAAATGTTTTGAAGATGTTTTGGCGCGAAAATATCTGAATTTAAATGAGTTGTTTCTAGCTGTAACAAGAAAATATAAAGTTGAAAGTGTTTTTCATCGTTTTCTGCTGTTGTTTTGTCCTCGAGCTGAAGTTTGCTTTGGTTCTTATCCTTCATTCTAGTTCGATAAAATACTCGGGAGTTAAAACATAATATTTACATATAAATTATTAATTTAAATTAGCAAAGTCTTGTATTAATAAATTTTTAGCTAGCATATAAACATTAGATAGGATTATTTTAATTAAATTAATAGGAAGTCAATTTAAAATTAGGTAGATAATAACTATAGGATTAAACAACTCACATAGGGCTAAGGCTAAGCAAATAAAATATTTTAAATAATATAATGGAGGGTGAAACAAGCACTTCACATGAGGCAAGCAATGCTGCTACAGAACTGAAAAGGTGGACAAGGGACTTACATGGCCTCCCATCATTTACGTATGAGTTACTAACTAAGCATTTTGGAACTGAACATGCTGGTGCTGGTGCTCAAAAACACAAGAAACTAGGTTATCAATTGTTTAAAGATAAATATGTTGGGCAAGTTGAGGTTAAAAAAAATGTCACGAAAGGCAACATGACGTGTTTCCTAGTTAAAGGCTGTGTAAATGCTGCTATGAAAAACAATGTGTACACTGTATATGTTCATCTAAATGAAGCTAATGGGGAGGTTGTGCACAGCAACTGTACATGTACAGCAGGGAAAGGTGGGCAGTGCAAACATGTTGTTGCTCTGCTATTTCAAGTAATTGAATATAAACAATTAGACATGACAGAAATCCCTGATAAGCCCACTTGTACACAATTACTACAGCAATGGCATGTACCAAGGAAAGATGAATCTGACAAGCCTGTTCTTTACGAGAACATGGCATTTAAAAAGGCCACATACGAAAAAGATGTGGGTAAAAAGAGGAAAAACGAGCAACAAGCCCCAAATATACATGACCCCATTCCACATTTTGCACAGAATATTACAAAACCTGAAGTTCAAAAGTTGGCTAATGCTTTGATAAATATTGATGAACAAAGCTATTTGGGGAATTTGTTAATATCAAATGACTGTGAGCCACACCCTTTCAAAAGCATGCATCTAGATATACCATCTAAAAAGAGATACACTGATTCAATGCAACTTAACATTAATGACCCTAGTGTTCGTGATAAAATTTAAAAAAACCTACAACCTACAACAGCCGAGGAAACTGTTACACAATGTGAAACCATTAAAAATTTACAATCATCTGTCAAAACCTCATATGAAGAAATAGTTGAAATTGAACGAAACACTAGGGAACAATCATCTGAAGACCGGTGGTTTGAGGAACGTGGAAAACGACTCACCTCTTCAAATTTTGGTCCAATAGTTAAGCGAAGGCGGCAAAGGTACCCAAAAACATTAATGTCAAACATTAAGTCTAGTCAGTCTAAGTGCCCAAAACCGTGCCAGTGGGGAAAAGACAAGGAGTGTGAGGCTATCATGGAATATAAGAAAACGAAAAAACAACAAGGAAACATTGATGTGTGCGCACATTGTGGTTTTGTAGTAAATTCAAGGTTTCCATGGTTGCCAGTCCTGATTTTTTAGTGTTCGATGGTGCAGAAGCCAACTCATTTGGTATTGGGGAGGTGAAATGCCCATTCTCAAAAAAAGACATGA